TCCTCTAAAGATCTTATTGTTTCTTTCTTTCTAGATGCTCCAAGATGCCTGTAAGAAGATTGCCATGAACAATGGCTTGTTCCAGGACATTTTTGCTAGGTTCATCCAATCTAATCTTGTGCCTTGTGTATTCCAGCAAATGCCAAGTTCTGACCAACAGTTTTTGTTAAAGGAGCATTCAAAGAAGAGGTGCTCCACAGTTTCTTCCAAATTGGACTCACAAAGGAGGCAGGTATAATCGTTACCAATGTTGTAGTGCCTTTGCTTCAACATGTTTCTGGAATTAAGCCTGTCAGACAGTAAGAGCCAGCCGAACACCTTGATTTTCATGGTTGCTTTAGATTTCCATAGCCAATTATAAGCCTGATGGGCCCGAACATCCTTGAAGTAAAAGTTGTAATACTTGCTGGCCGAGTACATCTTAGTCCCCCATGTGAGGATCCACTTGTCAGCAACATATTGGCTGTCCTGCAGTTGAATGTCTAGGACCAGCCGTTGAAGATATCTTGTCTCTGCATGCGCGTGCACCGAGAGCGGAAGGTGAAAGGTTTCTCCTAGTCTCGTGGTACCCAATAAATCTTTGACCGAGAGATCCTCCTGGATAGCGAACGAGAAGGCCCGCGGGTGTGTTTCCAATAGAATATCATCAAGCCATAAATCTTTCCAGAAAAGAATATCCTTGCTCGTGTGCACTTGAGCTTTAGTAATCCCTCGATAGATCCGCATGAGTTTTGTTACATCTCACCACCAGAAGGAGCCGCAAGGGTCAGATGCATTAGGGATCTTGTTACTATAGTATGTGTTCCATATTAGCTCAACCCAAGGCAGGTCCCATCGATTGTAGAATTTATGGAGGTATTTAAGTAAGGGGCATTTACATTTGTGCCCCTAACTCGAACCCACTACTCAGATTTGCCCCTAATTTCGAAGCATGCTCAAATTTGCCCCTCTGCCGTTAGTTCACTATGTAAAAATGCCCTTCTGTGTCGTTACCATCCGGTCAAAGGGCTTTTGACTGTCTAAGGGGCGTTTATTGAGCATTTCGCCCCTGCCTCCATGTGTCACTTACATGTGGGACCCACTGAGAAAAAAAGGAAAAAACTCTTTCTCTCACCCATCTGTCCCTTTTACTTACATGTGGGCCCCTCATGGCCTCTCTCTCACACACACACACCTCCCACCTTCTCCCTCTACCTCATAGCCTCTCTCTCTCTCAACTCCGGCGACCGCAGGCTGCTCAGATACCGTGTGCTGCCACCGCCAGCTCCTCGAGCGTCGTAGCCCTCCCTCCATCCATCCCTCCCTCCCTCTTCCTCCTCCCCCACGGCCTCTTCCTCTCTCACCTCTAAAGAGCGCCACCGTCACCGCTGCCTTCATCTCCGCGCGGCCAACGGCAACCCCAAGCGCCTCCACCTCGCTAGGAAGCTCTTACGAGATGCCCTCATCCTAAAAGCCAACTAATTTGACGAGAGACGACCAGTGTCGAGTGCCACATCACATCTTCCCCGCCTCCGACCTCGGACCACCGATTTTGATGTGACGCCGTTGAAGCACGTCGGACGATTCATTCCACCAGAGGCTAGCTCAAGATAAAGGAGCATGTCCATGAGCACCATAGGCCAGCTCTCTTCTAGCCCACGCAGTGAATCAGGCATGGGACACCCGTAGACGACGCCCCGTACCCCGTCCTTTGCCATGATCGTCGCCGTTGACCTCCAAGATTTGACCGCCCCAAGACACCATAGACCTCCCTGACATCCGTTCCGCCATTGTTGTAAGGTCGCGCCCCTAACGCCCTCTTGCCCTTCTCGATTCTGCACCCATAGCTCCCAGCATGAAGCCGCCCGCCATGACCGACCTCGAGTGGTCGCATGCGTGCATTACCACCTATCGCTGCGGCGCCCAACTCGCTTGGCGTGCGTCGTGCAGACACACTGCGTGCCTCGGGCCCTCCTCTCGCGTTCGTCCGGCCACCAACGGTGAGCTGCCGGCAAGCGAGCCGCTCATGGACAGGCATGTCTCGCCATGGACCAATTTTGATCTTGACGGTGGGTCCCATGGCCCACATGTCAGGGAAGGGACAGGGCTTGTGTGTGAAAAAATATTTTGTTTCTATTTCGGCGGGTCCACCGGTAAGTGAGAGAAAGGGTGAGAGAGCCATTTTTTTAACTTTGGGGTAGGTCCCATGTGTAAGTGAGAGAGATATTTCTTTTTTTACTCTAGGTGGGTCCCACGTGTAAGTGGCATGTGCATGGAAGGGCAAATATGTCCAATAAACGACCAGTAGACGGTAAAAGCCCTTTGACTGGACGATAACAGCATAGAAGGACATATATAAGGAGAACTAACGGCAGAGGGGCAAATTTGAGCACGCTTCGAAATTAGGGGCAAATCTGAGTAGTGGGTTCGAGTTAGGGGCAAAAATGTAAATGGCCCATGATAAAAATGTAAATGTATGATATAAAAATTATATCGTTAGAAACTTCTTTCACATATGATTTCGATGGTATGCTTTGTGTTACATGCATGTCATATGTCATTGTGCTAACCTGTGGTCAAAGATAACCTTGAAAAATGTATTAGACCCTATATAAGTGGACGGAGGGAGTAGCTCAAGTGTTCTTAGTGATCACGTTTTCCGGATCTTTGGATATCGTTAAGTGTAACGATATTCCTAAAACAACATTGAGATTATGACATTGGAAGAACGATCATATTGAATCGACCTAAACTTGTTTGTTATGAATTGAGATAATATCGTCTGTAATCAATTATAATAACATGGAGTGTTAACGTGTGATTTTGCTCCTTAGACCATGAGAGTATCGTGGTCGCTTCTTACCGTATGGTGGGTTTTGGGGTTGCTCAAATGCCAGCTATAACACGGTAATCATAACAACAACTTACATATTAATCGGAAAGTTTGACAGGTGCTTGGATAGCTCAAGAATGGGATTTGCTCCTCCAACGATGGAGAGACATTCTTAGGGCCCTCTTGGTGTGATGGCATCGATCGTCGTCTAGCCAAACATAGGTGACTTCGTCACGGGATGTCGAAACACAATAACGAGAAAGAAGAAGAAAACCAGTAATGAGGGTTTCAGTATAGTGAGCATAGTGATGACTCAAGAGGATATCGATGCATCCCGGGTTTTGTGAAGTATCGTGAAGCAAAGGGAACATCACATGATAACCATAGGTTCACTCGAATATCATTTGTGTGATCATAGGGATCGATATGGACGTCCATGATCCCGATGTCGGTCATTGAACAAACAGTTTCATTCATGTCTATGGATTACCGAACCTATAGGGTCACAAGCTTAAGGCAATCACGATCTGTTGAGTGTTAGTAGGATGGGATTGATGAGAATATATTTGTGAAATTGTTTCATTTATATTCGGAATATATTCGTGGAAGCGTATCCCGGGTCGATTCCTACGGCCAACCTTGCCAGCGCGTGCAAGTTGTTCCATGAAATGCCACTGCCGACGCTGACGGTCGACGACCCTGACTACGCCGCTTTCATGGAGAGCGTCATCTTCGGGGGCCGTGGTGAGGCCTTCAACTTTGACGGTCAAGGCCATGCTTTCGATCCCGACGCGACCCAAAGCCAGGACGGTCGCGGCCAGTATGGTGATGACCTATTCGGTGGCCATGATGAAGATGAGATCGATGACCATGGAAACTCATGGCATGAAGATAATGACATGTATTGTGAAGATGAGGAAGAAGAGATCGACATTACGGCGGAGCCATTGGTGTTTATCGATGAGTTCATCCAAAGGGTCGAGGCACAAAGGAGGCAAAGCATTCGTACGGGATTATACACCCAAGAGGAGGACACTTTGATTTGCAAGAGTTGATGGAGATAGGCCAAGATCCCATGAAAGGTGCCCGGCAAAAAGGATGTCTTTTGGACGAAAGTTCACAAAACCTTTCATGAGCGAAGGAAGTTTGCCCCATACCAATTTGTGAGCACCCGCGGCATCAACTCAATCCAAAAGAGATGCGGGTTCATTCAACAAGAGCGCAACAAGTATTTTCCCACGCTTGAGAGCGTCCAAACCCGTCCCGTGAGTGGCCTAGGCGTTGGTGACTTTATATGAACCAGAGAGGAAGGCTTGGTTCATGAATGGGCAGAAAGAGATGTTCGCCCAAGACGGCCCGGCTTTGTTGCCGACGTAAAGAACTTGTTCATTTTGAAGTTTGGCTACTGTGTCGGTCACTAGCTTAGCTTTGTTGGCGGCGTTAAACTGGGGGATGACCATTTTGAAGTTTGGCTACTGTGTCGGTCACTAGCTTAGCTTTGTTGGCGGCGTTAAACTGGGGGATGACCATTTTGTAGGCCGTTGGCTTTGTTGCCGACCGGCATAAACCACAACCGCTGGCGTGACTATGGCCGCTAGCATTATCTACATCTTTGTTGCTTTGAAAAAATTGCATGCAGCCAAACAAGATGTGGCCGGCCACATTCAGAAATCCGGGCAGACACCATCCATTGTCATTCCCAAACAAACAAAATCCAAACAAAACAAACATCCTTTTGATGCCATCCCTAAACGAACAAAATCCAAACAAAACAGACATCTTTTTGGTGCCATCCGCGAAAGGACAAAATCCAAACAAAACATACATCCTTTTGGGCTTGTGCGTCTAAAGAGAAAGATCAAAGTATTGTCCTGGGTCCGGGGAGACAAACACTGAGGCTGTTGCCTGCAAAACCCGCTTGATTTATTATGCAAGAAAGAATAAAAAGAGAAGGTTTTCAATCTCAAACTTTTGAGATACGGGGTCTAAAAGATATGATTATAGGATCCAGAACATGTATCGTTTACTCTTACTGACAGTAGGTATTTAATACTCCCTCCGTCCCAAAATAAGTATCTCAACTTTAGTATAAAGTTGTACTCCCAGTGTCAATAACATTCCTATATTATGGGACGGAGGGAGTACTAAACTTGAGACACTTATTTTGGGACAGAGGTAGTACACATCCTCATCCCATCATCCTCATCCTATCAGTGCAACATTGAGGACAAAAACCATCTTTTGTGTGACCAACCAGAAGAAGGTTCCAAGCCGGGTCATCAGTTTTCAGGTCTTCGAACTCACATTGCAAACTTAAGCTTTCTCCAGTCTCCTCTGAAGAGCTAGCTGCGAGCTTGAGCTTGTTGTCCCGGGGTATCACTGCAACCAATAAAATAAAACTAAAACAACTTAGATATGTACACCATCTGAACATCTCACTATGTTGTTTGCGACAAGTATTGACACATAAGATGAACAGCAAAACCACATGCAATGGTTTTGCTGTGCAAAAAAGAGGTAGAAACAGCATTGGATTGGGGTACCCTGATCAAGAGAATTCTTTCACCCTAAATATCAATGTAGACATAGGGGGCTGGCCGTAATCTGCTGCAGACCAGCGGCATGGGGCTGTGTGCTCAGATGGCACAGGACTAGAGGCAGCGAGAGGGCGGCCGACTGAAGAAACATGGGAGTCCTGACAAGTGACAACAGTCCAGGTGGAATGATGTCGGATGAGGCATGTGAGGATTAAGAAAACAGTTGGAGGGGATGTCACCAGAATCAAGAGGAAGACAGACACATGAGGGTGCCAACGGGGCTAATACTACAGGAATTTTACCTAATGAAAATTCCTGTGCAGGGAGAATGGCTTTTCACTGGCCCAATACCGAGTTACACGATATAAAATACAAGCACTATCTAGAACAAAAGTATTCTAACAGAAAAAGGCAAAGATGTGACCTGATTGACCCAAACTAACCCAACGAAACACATTCTAAATCTTTTACCAACAGAAAAGTATGTGTTAAAGGTCTGTACATATAATCTAAAAGGTACAAGACATTTGCACTGATATAAAATTAGAGGACCAATCAGTATCCAGTTTTATGCTTTAGAAGAGCAATCACAATAGTGTGGTTTCTAGAGTTTTGCTTCAGAATAGCACACTAAACTAGTAGCAAAAGAAGGCTGCATGCTGAATCAAGAACTACCACGTGTATAGATAGTGAACAGTCTCGTGAAAAGCAAAAGTTCCAACAAGGAAAAAATGGTAAGACTCTGGAGGACAACTTGACGGCAGAAGGAGTAAGGTATTATTATTTATAATATAGTATAAAGTTTAGTGCACCTACACAACTGGAGCAGCTAAAACTCAAAACACTTGAACAGCCTAAGAGAAGATTGATGACAGCAAATATATTAAATGCCTCAATTAATTAATATTGCTATACCAAAGCAGCACAACGCAACCTCAAAAGGCAGCAAAATTAGAAATTTTGGGACAAGAGAAAAGCAATAGATAGAAAATAACACAGGGCAAACAGCCCTGATAAATAGAGCGGTATGTGTCCAGAAGTCCTTGTGCTGAGAATTGCTAATGAAGGGGGGAACACTCCAAAGAGACCCATAGAGAGAGCAGACAGTGGAAACTACTCCCGCCGTCCCAAAAAGCATGTCTTACATTATGTATCTAGACACGTTTTAGAGTTAGATACATCTGTATCTCGACAAATCGAAGAAAAGCTTTTCAGGACGGAGGTAATAGATATTAAGCATGCAGAAGTCTCACAGTTCAATTAGCCTCACAACCAGGCAGGATATGTATTGCATCATATTTAAGATAAATAGGCAAAGACACCAGTGTTACACTACCATATCCAACAGAAAGCTAAGCAAACACAACCATGTTGTATCGATACGTAATTACAAGGGACACCATTTGAATATTAAGAGAGCTTACCTGTTGGCCTTACAAGGTATTTGGAGAAGACAGTTGGAAGTAGGGGCACATTAGAAAAGAAGATTTGGTGAGCCTCCATGGGTTTTTTCTCATTCACGCACGCAGCATTGTAGGGCTGCTGATTGACATGTTTAGTAGATGTCTGCAGATCTTCCTGGTTCATGTCAACCATGATCATCCACGGCTGTCCAGAAAGTTCCTCTTTACTCAACAGGCAGCATAGGGCGTCCGGATTGTTCGCACAGACGAATGGGAACTCGGGAAGACAGCGAGGTATGTCCAGAGCATGGAAACCATCTTGCGCCCAGAGAAGATCCAGGTTGATCCCCCAATGAATCTTCCACTTGAACTTGCTACCATCCCCGATATCCAAAGTCCATACTGTGATCTTTTGGAGAGGCTGCTGCTGCCCTTGGCTTCTCTCAAGACCCGGACACCAGCCATCAATGCGGACAAAGTGCATCATGCCTTGGCTGACGGACACACGTCGGAATCTCGCCGCTAAGCATTTTGCCATCTGTGCCTTCTTAGAGTTCTCTTTTCCTCCAAGGAAAGGCATGATCTGTAGCTTCTCACAGTACCCATCTTCTCCAGGGAAAGGCACGAAGTGGAGCACCGGGGACTCTAAATTGGAGAAGTCGCATAGCAGTACACCGCTCAAGTAGTCGACACAGCAGAGGAACCTGCGGCCAAAAGCAAGCACCTCCTTAGTTGACCACAGGATGGGGAACTGGGTATTGCTCTCGTCTTGCGGCTGGGGGGCAGGCTTCTCGAGGAAGTGTTTCCACTCTTTGGTCTTGGAGTTGAAGACGCAGAGCTCGACAAACATGGAATAATTTTCAGGGCCCTTCTTTTTCTGGTAGACCTTGAGGTCGGAAACGATGTAGCTGTTGTCCGGGAGGCGGAGGATGCCTGTGGTGAATTTTGACATCAGAAACGGCCTTACCATGGGCTCAGTGTACAGAGGGAGCTGATCCACCCAGGGGGTACGACCAGCTGTGTAGACGAACAGATCTGACGGCAAGTCGTAGGGCTGGCTTGGGATGGAGATTTCGAAGAGGACGAGGTCCTCGTCAGTTGCCCGGACGTAGGGATACGCGGGCAGGCGGGAGGGGCCCACGGGTTCGACTGAGCCTTCCCGCGGCCACTCGAGATCGAGGTAAGAGACCTCTGGAGGATCCGAGAGGGCGAAGGACAAGCAGCAGCGGTGGCCGGTGGCCGTGACGACTTCAACGGCGGTCTTCTTCTTATTGGCCGCCTCACGTGCAGCGTCTAGGTCGGCATGGCTGTGGGTGCGGCCGAAGCGATCCAGCATCACCCAATCGGGGAATACGATGGTCTTCTCCTCTGGCTCTGGCGCGACTTCGGTGGCCATGGCGGTCTCCTCCTCCGACTCTCGAGCAACTATGGTGGCTAAGAACATCTCCTCCTCCGACCCTGGCGCGACTCCGGTGGGCATGGCGATCGGATCGGGAATTTAGCAGCCGCCGCCTCCACAACCCTAACCCCAGGTCTTCAGGGTTCTCACCAGCCTAGCTAACCACTCCTTTTTTCTTGCGGCGGAAATTTGGGCAGCTTTATTCAACGTCAACCGCCCCGCCATCATCTGCCAGCGCAGCTAACCACTCCGCCCACTTCAAGTTACTGGTTTAGTAGTAGGATCGCGATGAGGCGACCGAACCGGTATTCTCCATTTTTTTTCTTTTACTCTTTTCGGTTTCTTTTGTTTCATTTTTCTTCTCCATTCTTTTCATTCTTTCTTCTTTCTTTTCAGATTTTTTTCATTAATTTCATTTTATTTTGTTCCATTTATTTCTTATTCTCCGGCTTTTTCATTCTTTTCTTTTTTATTATTCATTTTTTGTTTGTTTTTCTTTTTTACTTCATTTTTTGTTTTTTTATTTATTTTTCTTTTGTGTTTTGTTACGTTTATTTTTGTTTTCACTCTACACTTTCGTGGGTTATGAGATTTTAGGTCTAGTAGGTGAGTATGATGACTATTATATAGGTGGATAAAATAATCTTTAATTAATCTTCAAAATTTTGGATTTAGTTAGGTGATTGTGATACTTGACCAAATTTCACTGTGGATTATGAAATTTTAGGTGGATTTAGGTAGGCGATTGTGATCTTGAGGAGATGGTCAAACAGGTGTTAGCACACCGTCTGCAGGTGGAGCACCGAGCCAGCGAACAGAAGTGGCCCAGCAATGCCGGCCCAGGAGGGAGCGACGACCGTGCCATAAGTTCACGGGTCCCCAGTGGGTTTCCTACCTGTTCGACCCTAGCAGCGTACCCACCTACTGATAAGAGAGGACGCAGCAGGTGGTGAGGGCATCCCGGCTAGGATCAGGCGGCGGCGGTGTGTGTGTGTGTCTCTGTCTGTAATCCTGATCCCCTCCTCATCTCCTTCCTCCTGTGTGCTGCTACCTGATTGAGATCACCATAATTGAGAGGAGAAGAACTAGTGTGTTCCTACCACGTGGTATCAGTCGCCATCTCACCCCTCTTCCGCGCGCTGGAGACGCGCAAGCAGACCGCCGATCGTCACTACTTCTCGCCACCATGGATCCGGCCCTCAAGTCCTACCTCGACAAGCTCACGGAGACCTTAACGAAGGCTAACGAGGACACCCGAGCTGACATCAAGGACCTCTCAGCGCGGATCGACTCCCAGTCCGCGCAGGTGGATGCGCTTACGGCATGGAAGCCAGACCTCGAGTCCCGTCTCTCCAAGCTCCAGGAGACGGTGGGCATGCTCTAGAGCGAGCGGCTGCCCACGCCGAACGCGACAGATGGTGGATCAAAGGGGGTGGATCTCTCCGATAGGCCGCTCCACAGCATGGTCCACGGGCCCGCTGGCCGCGGCGAGTCGCATCAACTACGGGGCGGGTCGTCGGCAGGCGGCATCCCGTCGGCGGCCTCTCCGGCCAATGGTACACTGAGCTTTCACAACCCTCCCATGTTCCCCGTGGTCGACACCTCCATCGCACCTGGTTCTGCTTCGGCCCTTGTTCATACCGGACTGGGTCCAAATTCCCCACCTCTTGCGTTTCCCCAATTCTCGGGTGAAAATCCCAAAATCTGGAGAACCATGTGTGAACAGTATTTCTCTATGTTTCAAATTCCAGAGCACTATTTTGTTCCCATGTCTACATTACACTTCACGGGTCCTGCGGTCATCTGGCTGCAGTCGATCCAGGGGAAACTTAGCACGCTAGATTGGGAGTCTTTCTGTAATTTGCTATGTGCACGATTCGGTCGCGATAAGCATCAGCTACTTATCCCCCAATTTTACTCCCTTCGTCAAACTAGCTCTGTATCTGACTACATTGAGCAATTTCAGAACCTTATGAACCATCTCATTTCTTATTCTGATGCGGTACACCCACTGTATTTCTTGATGAGGTTTATCGAGGGCCTGCGCACCGACATCCGTGCGGTGGTGATGGTGCAGCGACCCAAGGATCTGGACAGCGCTTGTGCCCTGGCGATTCTGCAAGAGGAAGTCGCAGAGGGACAAAAGGGACCCTGGTACATCAACCATGAAGGGGCACCCTATCTGGGGAGGACTCGCTCAACGGGTCCTCTGTCGTTGCCCCCTCCTCCAGCACGGGCGCCAGCTATCTCCCTAGCAGCAGATGATCGCCGCAACACTGAAGCCGCCCCGCGCGGGGAGTGATCAATCCAAAATCACAGCCCTGCGTAACTTTCGTCGAGCCAAAGGGCTGTGTTTCAAGGGTGGAGAGAGATGGGGTCATGATCACGTATGCCCGCCGATAGTTAAACTGCACGTGATCGAGGAAATGTTCAGCCTGTTCAGTTTGGACGCTCAAGGAGAAGAGACAGTGGCCAATGCACAGCAGCAGGGGCAGACAGATACAGGGGAGCAAGTGTGGTAGCTCTCTATCAACGCCATGTCTGGAACTGAAGCACCCAGTTGCTTACAATTACATGGCTGGCTCCAGGGGCGTGAAGTCCTTATGCTGGTGGACTCTAGTAGTTCAGCCTCGTTCGTGTCTCAACATTTGGCATCTCATCTACAAGGGGTACAATCTATGCCCAAGTCTGCCAAAGTTGCTGTAGCCAATGGGTCAGAAATGCGGTGCACTCAGGAAGTGCTAGGCTGCTCTTGGTTTGCCCAGGGTCATGTGTTTTCAACCAATTTCAGATTGCTGCCTTTGGGATCTTACGATGTCATATTGGGGATGGATTGGCTGGAGTATCACAACCCCATGCTCATCGATTGGGCGAAACGGTGCATGCAAATCGAACATGACGGATTCACGGTTGTATTGCAGGGGGTTACATCTCAAGCACACAAGTGTGAAACTCTGAATACGGTGCAGCTAGCAAGTATGGAAAAACAAGAAGTGGTGGCCTATGCAGTGCACATTTGTTATGCTCAAGATTCTGACACTGTCACCGATCTCAAGTGTACTGAACTTCCACCAGAGATTGTGCAAGTGTTGTTAGATTATGAGGATGTATTCCTGGAGCCGACCGGATTGCCACCACGGCGCGAATGTGAGATCACCATCCCCTTGATGCAAGGCGCCCAGCCGGTCAACATACGAGCGTACAGACACAAGCCAGAATTGAAGACAGAAGTTGAAAGGCAAGTCGCTAAAATGTTGAAGGCTGGTATCATTCAAAAGAGCAGCAGCCCATTCTCCTCTCCTATTATTCTGGTCAAGAAGAAGGACGGTACCTGGTGCATGTGTGTTGATTATCGGAGGCTGAATGTGATGACTATCATCAGCAAGTACCCCGTGCCTGTCATTGAGGATATTTTGGATGAGCTGGCAGGGGCGTGTTGGTTCTCCAAGCTTGATTTGCGCTCCGGCTATCACCAAATCAGATTGGCAGAAGGGGAGGAATACAAAACAACATTTCAACCACACTCGGGCCATTTCAAATTCAAAGTGGTGCCATGTGGTCTCGGGGGAGCACCTCCAACATTTTTGGCGGCTATGAATGTGACGCTGCATCCAGTCCTACGGGTCTGCGCAATGGTTTTTTTTGACGATATCCTAGTCTTCAGTCGGTCCTTTGCCTTGCACTTGCAGCACCTGAGGCAAGTGCTAGCTCTCCTCCGAAGGGACCAGTGGTATGTGAAGAGGTCCAAATGTGCCTTTGCTCAACAGGAAATCAAATACCTCGGTCACACCATTTCTGCAAAAGGGGTCTCGACAGATTCAGACAAGATTTAGCAAGTGACTGTGTGGCCGGTACCAACATCTGTCAAGTAGGTTCGAGCTTTTCTAGGATTGGCCGTATACTACCGATGATTTGTTCGGCAATTTGGCATGCTGGCTCGTCCACTCACCAACCTTTTGCGCAAAAATACACCATTTCAGTGGACAGAGGCCACCCAATCAGCCTTCGACGCTCTCAAAACATCACTGACGACAGCACCAACACTAGCACTCCCAGAATTCACAAAACCGTTCACAATCGAGACTGACGCCTGCCAGTATGGAGTGGGAGCTGTTTTGCAACAAGATGGGCACCCGATAGCGTACCTCAGCAAAGCGTTGGGCCCACGAACTAAGGGGTTGTCCACTTATGAGAAGGAGTACCTGGCCATTGTCTTGGCCGTCGAGCAATGGCGTCCATACCTACAGTTTGGCGAATTTATGGTTAAGACAGACCAACGCAGCTTAGTCCACTTGGAAGAACAACGTCTTCACACCCCGTGGTAACAAAAAGCTTTCACAAAGCTGTTAGGGCTCCAATATCGGATCTTCTATCGCAAGGGTACAGAAAACAGTGCTGCTGATGCTCTATCGAGACGACCTGTTGAGAATTCTGCTCACCTCCATGCCATTTCAGTGTGTCAGCCAACCTGGCTTCAGGAAATTGTCAAAGGGTACGACAGCGATCCCAAGACACAACAACTCATCACTCAGCTCGTCGTGGCACCGATCGCTGATGGCAAGTTCACTCTGACCAAGGGTATTGTAAGATTCAAAGGGCGTGTATGGCTAGGCAACAACACAAAACTCCAGCAGCAGATCATGCGAGCTTTACATGACAGCGCTGTAGGGGGACACTCCGGGTTTCCAGCCACCTATCACAGAATCAAGCACTTGTTTGCCTGGCCGGGTATGAAGCATCATGTCACGCCCAATATGCGACCCTATCCAAAAGGAACTCGAAGGTCCCACCAAGGATAGACCCGCATATTGAAACGCTTTTGCAAGGTGGATATCATTACATCAACATTACATAATAGATGGGGATACATACATAAGGCATACAATGCCACACGAATACAACAATACATCATACATAAGATCAACATCCGACTACGGATGAAACACAAACAGAAACTCAAACGACATCCACCCTGCTAGCCCAGGCTGCCGACCTGGAACCTATCCCCTGATCGAAGAAGAAGCAGAAGAATAACTCCACGCAAGCAAGCATCGCTCTCGCGTCATGATCATCGCAAAACC